ATCTTCATCAGTAAATGTTTCAAGTCCTCTTCACTTTCAGCAAGCAAGGTTGTATCATCTGCATATCACAGGTTGTTAATGAGTCTTCCTCCAAACCTGGTGCCATGTTTTTCTTCATAGAACTCAGCTTCTCGTATTCCCCCCATTTTTGATAGCCAACATTTAAATTCCCATCCTTATCAACCCAGTGCTCTGAGGAGGCAAGCTTATTCCTTGTAGAATCCTTCCATTCGGCTTGGAATTTTGAGCAACTGCATTCAGAAGCAAAGGTCCAGTTTCATGACCTCAGGAGTTCACACATCTCCGTAAATTTCTATCTCAAGATCAACGGATGTCAAGAAAACATGTCCAAACTCAGGCCATGTCTTCATGGCTGCATTGCCCCCATTTCCACTCACAAATAGACCCAGGTGGTCACCAGTGAGCGTAGTGGACTGCTCATGGAGACCCTTTGAGTTTCAGTTTTTTAGAAAGGAGTTTTCGTGCCTTGCTGCCTCCAAAGCAAACAGCTCGCTTGATGTTCTTACAGCCAGATAGTCTGTTTTTCATTTTCCTGCAGGTCTTCAATAAGAGATTGCTGTTCTCCCAGCAGTTGTGAGTTGGTCTGTATGTCTGTATTTGTTAGTTTTAAACGTTATTCATTTATAATGATATTCATTTATACTTTAAACTTTTCTAACCTTCTGCCTCAAATCCAACAAGGCCTCATTGCCGCCCCTCACAGCTGCCCCAGGACCCCAGGGTCCCTCCCACTAGCATCCCTTTTGGGTTTCCAGGCCTCTCTTCTCCGAGGCAGGTCCTCACCCCACCCTTGGGACCCTCGAGTGAGTGAACCGTCTCTCACTGGGCTTGAGCAGAGCACTTAAGTGAACACTCCCCTGGGGGCCGATGCAGGGGCGCCCAGTCTCGCTTCGGTGCTCCTGGACATCTTTCTCACAAGATACTTCTAGAGGTAAAACAGGGTGGGGTCTCTGGGTTTTAATTCAGGCGCCGGCACCTTCTTGAAACTACTCATTATAGGGCGGTCCTGCTTGGTGCTGGCGACAGTACCCTGTCACTGTCCCGTGACTCATGGATCTGCCATCTCTCTACAGCCGGGACTGGGAAGAGGAATGGGCGGGGCGGCACTGTCAGGCCAGCGCCCGCCCCCTTTCTCCCCTCCCCTCGGGAAGGGTGGACGGAAACCACCCCTTCTTCTTTTCTCCCTTCCTGCAGCTTCCCGGCAGGCACTTTGAGGCTGTGGGGTGTTGTTGATCTACGTAGGGCTGAGGCTGGCCTGGAGACGAGCTGTTCTGCACCGGTAGGGGGGCCCCTGAGGCTGAAGGAGGCAGAAGCTGCCCCCTGGCCTGCGGAGGGGATGAGATGGGAAGTTGGGGCCAAGGCCAGTTGTGGCGAGCTTGGGCTGAACTTGAAGCTGAAGCCAAGACTCACTATCTGCCTCTTGTCCCGATTCCTTATGGGGGGCCCCGGGTCCTGCGCCTCCATCTTGCCAGTGCTAACACAGGGCTACGTGAGCCCCCAAACATGACCAGAATAGGCACCAGGGCAGGCAGCCAGGCTGAGCATAAGTGACAGAGAGCAGGTGGCCAGGGAGAAATGGGCAAGAGGGTGGCACACAAGAATAGAGGGTGAGCCTGAGGGAGGGAGGTCAGAGTCAGAGAGCTAGGGACCCAAGGGAAGTGCAACAGGGGTGGACAGGGGGACCCAGGTAATCCAAGAGACACCCTGGCAGAATAAGGTGGAGTGTGTGGGAGGCAAAGGCACTGGTTAAGGCCTGAAGGTGGCAGGGTGGCAAGGAAGGTCTGTGTGGAGAAAGCGCCATGGGGTGGGTCGCAGGGGGAGGCCACCTTCTCCAAAACATGGCTGTGGCCTCCCAGGACCAGGAGGAGTCCCTGCTGGATCCAGCAGCCATGCCCCACCCTGTGAGCCTCCTGCTCGTGCTCCTGGCCAGTGGGGCCGAGGCCTTTCGCATCTGTGCCTTCAATGCCCAGCGGCTGACCCTGGCCAAGGTGGCCAGGGAGCCTGTGATGGACACATTGGTGCGGGTAAGTTACAACTGAAGGGAGCAGCATCCCTAAGCCCCCAGCCCATCCTGAAAAGAGGAGACATCCGAATGTGAAGTGGTGCTGAGTGACATTGAAGAATTGGAGCCTGTTCTGTCCCTCACCCATTGGCCTCAGTTTCCTTCTCTGTAAAATGGGTGGGGGTGGCTCCCAGTCTGCTCGCTCTCTGTTGGCCATGCCCATGCCAGTTCCCCTGTAGATCCTGGCTCGTTGCGACATCATGGTACTACAAGAAGTGGTAGATTCCACCGGCAGCGCCATTTCCCTCCTGCTTCGAGAACTCAACCGGTAAGGGGGGCTCTGTGGGTGGAACTCCCGGCCCACCAGGAGCCTTGGGAGGCCCTGAGCCTAGGTCCCCCCTTTTCTGCAGCTATGATGACTCTGGGCCCTATAGCTCCTTGAGCAGTCCCTTGCTGGGGCGCAGCACATACATGGAGAAATATGTCTACATCTATCGGTAAGCACGGGAACCCTTCCCTCTCTAGCTTCTTCTCTCCCTGGTAGCAGGGTCTGCCTTCTAGAAAAAGCTGTAAATCCTTGAAGGGACAAACTTTGGGGTCAGGATCTAAAGGTGCCTGCTTCTCTATTATTAGTGGAAATAAGAGCGTATCTAGGAGCCCTGGTGGTGCCGTGGGTTAAGCAGAGGCCTGCAGTAACCTCTGATGTGGAGGCCTCTTAAGGGAAGAAGTCCCACACTAAAGGCCACGTATTTATACAAAATGTTGACATCAGGTAAATCCCTGAAGACAGGAAGCAGAGAATGGGGAAGGGGGGGTTTTCTGGAATTCAATAGTGGCGATGGTGGTACAGCCTTGTAAATCTACCAACCACCATTCAATTGTACCCTCTGAATAGGAGAACTAATGATAAGAGCATTGGATCTCAATTTTTAAGAAAGTTCTGTAGGGTAACTACCACAAAATTGGCAGTTCGAGCCCACCAGTCACTCTGCTGGAGAAAAAGGAGGCTTTCCACTCCTGTTAAGATATACAGGGTCGCTAGGAGTTGGAATGGCAAAGGCTCTGACCAAGAACAAGGCTGTGTGGGGGAGGTTGTGCCCTCGTGGAAGATGGGAGTCAGACTGGGCTCCCGCTGATGGTCCCTCACTGGTGTTGCCACTCGGAAACCATCCCTTGTCCCTCTCAGCTCACACAAGACACAGGTCCTGGAGTCCTACGTGTACAACGATCGGGATGACCTGTTCGCCAGAGAGCCCTTTGTGGCCCAGTTCACCTTGCCCAGCAAGGGTAGGAGGAGAAGAGGGTGGCCTTGTGTGTGTCATGGGAGGGGAGTGTGGCTGCTGGCCTTCCCTCATGGGATCCCTTCCAGCCCTCCCCAGCCTTGCGCTGGTCCCACTGCACACCACCCCGAAGGCTGTGGAGAACGAACTGAACGCCCTGTACGATGTCTTCCTGGATGCCTCCCAGCGCTGGCAGAGTGAGGTAGGGCTGGACTGCTTGCTCAGGAGGGCTGGTCTCAGGGGAGCTGGTGACTAGGCCCAACCCCTGCCGTCTCAGGATGTGATCCTACTTGGGGACTTCAACGCTGACTGCGCTTCGCTGACCAAGAAGCGGCTGGGCGAGCTAGTGCTGCGTACCAAGGAGGGTTTCCACTGGGCGATTGCTGACGGGGAGGACACCACCGCGCGGACCAGCACCCACTGCGCCTACGACCGCATCGTGCTGCACGGGGCTCGCTGCAAAGGCCTGTTTCACACCGCCACCGCCTTCAACTTCCCCCGGAGCTTCCAGCTCACAGAGGAGCAGGCGAGTCCCAGGGCTCTGTGGGACGGCAGGGCCAGGCGGGTGGGAATAGAGCAGAGCCCCAGCCCGGGGCACTGACATTTTGTGTGTCCTCACCCCCTCCCCCCAGGCCCTCAACATCAGCGACCACTATCCTGTGGAGGTGGAGTTGAACTGGGCCGCGCCGAGGGACCAGCCCTTCAGCCTGGCAGCTCTGCTGCTGCCCCCACTGCTGATGCCCCTCCTGCCCCTTCAGTTGGGCCCGGCAGCCTGACTCTGCCCACCCTGGGGCCCGAGTGACTAATGATGGGTCCAATGTAGCCCATCTGCCTGGCTCTGGACCATGAAGAGAGAACCAGGGGCCTTGGGGCTATAAACCCACGCCACCCCCCTACAGGTGGTTTTCAGGATAGGAGGCAAAGTAGATGCTAGGGAGCTGGGACAGGGGAAGGGGGCTCAGAGAGGGGAATCACAAAAGGCTACAGGATTTTATTTGATGAAGAATGCAAGCTTTTATGGAAAGGGACACACACATTCATGTACTGGACTGCCAACCACAAGGTTGGGGCTTCAAACCTACCAAATGCTCCTTGGAAACCCTATTCAGGGTTGGGATGAGTCAGAACTGACTCAATGGCACTTAACATGTACTGAGAAAGCATCAGATTGGAGGGACAGTCATATGGGTGGCAACTATGCCAAAGGGCTATTTACAGAACTCACCTCATCAATCAAGACTGGAGATTAAGCTTACACCAAAAAAACCTTGGTTTCACTGTCACCCAAGGGCTGGGAGCACCCTGATGTCTGTGGTCAAGCCCATGTCCACGGGCGTTTGAGGTGTCTTCATTGCACAAGGCTGCAGGCATCCAGAGATGGGTGAGCAGGCGGGACAAGGTGAAATACTGTGCCTGCTTCCAAGTAGCTAGAGACCATATTGTCCAGAGAAGACAAGCAGATCCCTGGGCAGCCAACTGGGATGCTGTTGAGGGCGTTGCTCTTCTTTTTCTAGTAAAAGCTTTTGGTAAAGTGTTGGGCTGTGTATGTGATTTGTATCTGGGCTCAAAACTAGGGCTAATGTAAATGTTTGAAGTGACTGTAAATCTGTCAGGGGCCACAGGTGAGGGGATCTTAGTGCCCAGGAATCTTGTGGCCTGAGTGGGCAAGGGGTTGCTGCTGGAATCTGGCACCACCTTGTTAGCAGATCCCTTTAAACCTGCCCCAACCCAGAGCCTGAAGCCACCTGCACAACTCCTGGGCTTTCCAGAGGGCACTCTAGCTCAACCTTTGTGGAAGGGAAAACCAGTAGGATCCCAGGCTGAGCGAACACATGCTGCGTTGTGAAGTGGGTTCCCCAAAGGGTTGGTTTCAATGGCAAGATTGTTGTCAGGTGCGACCCTATGCACATCAGAATGAAACAAAATGGTCGATCCTGGGCCAACCTCACCACCGCTGCCACACTTGACGCCATCAATGATGCCACCTGGCTGATCCATCTTGTTGGGAGTCTTCCTCTTTTTCTCTGACCCTCCATCTTACCAAGCATTATAACCTTCTACAGCGACTGTTCCCTCTGACTGTCCAAAGTATGAGATGGAAGTTTAGCCATCTTGGCCTCCAAGGAGCACTCTGGCTGCGCTTCAACTCTTCCAAAACAGACCTACTGGTTCTTTGGGCAGTCCATGGCACTTTTAGTATTCTTCAACACAATTCAAAGGCATCAATTCTTCTTCCGTCTTCCTTATTCAACTGTCCAGCTTCCGCATGCGTATGAGGTTATTGAAAATACCATGGCTTGGGTCAGGGCAAGATAGGTGGTTCAAACTCATCAGCTCTTATATGGAAACCCTGGCACTTAAACATGTAAGGTGGTGGAGTGGAGCGGGTTCCAGTCTCATAGAGAGCCTGCATAGGGTTTCCTTGTTGTTAAGTGCCATCGAGTCGGGTCCGACCCATAGCGACCCTGTACAGGGTTTCCGAGGGTGTAAATCTTTACGGGAGTAGAAAGCCTCATCTTTCTCCCGCGGAGCGGCTGGTAGTTCCTAGGCTGTCAATATTTACAGGAGCAGAAAACCTCATCTTTCTCCCATGGATCTGCTGACCTGAGGTTAACAGCCAAACTCATAACCACAACACTGCCACAGATCTCCTTTTAGTGACCCCAGATAGGGAACTCTCAAGTTTTTGTGTCTGGGAGCTCTTACTACTTATTTCAGGCTCTTCTCCAGCCAATTGGATGAGGATACTCAATGGAAGCCCTGTACATGTTCTGGCCAGGAAAGATTCAAGGACATCCAACTAGAGATCCCAAATGAACAGCTTCCCACCCCTCAACTGGCTCGACTCAGAAAAGTTGCTAGCTTGTCTCAAAATCTGAGGCCCAGGTTCCCAGAAGCTCCTCAGCTCTGCCCACCCCAAGAAATGAAACCACAAGACACACATTGACACAGTGAATTTATTGAAGGGCATAGGTCAGTGCTACCAAGGCCTTCATGAATGCAGGGCCCTCCACTTGTCCAAAGGGCCACGGTTGGGGATGTATTTGACCCCACAGCCATCTGGGATGAGGCGCTTCTCAGCCACCATGTCTTCAAACTCATCAGCATTGAACTTGGTGAAGCCCCACTTCTTGGAGATGTGGATCTGGGGAACCATCAGAATGAACTCGGTTAGGAGCCTAGGGACACAAGCTGGAAGGAGTGGGGGTGGGTGGCAGCCCTGCTTACCTTCTGGCGCCCAGGGAACTTGAACTTGGCCCTGCGTAGGGCCTCAATCACATGCTCCTTGTTTTGAAGCTTGGTGCGGATGGACATGATGACTTGGCCAATGTGGACCCTAGCCACAGTGCCCTGGGGCTTGCCAAAGGCCCCTCGCATCCCAGTCTGGAGCCTAGGTTAGGGATAGCAGAGGTGAGAGCGAAGTCACAGACACGAGGGCAGGAAAGGGCTGTCTCCAGGGTCCCTTAGGGCAACCTATACGTGCCAACAGGCTGCGTACACTACCGAGGAGGAGGCTGCTGTTTGCAGTCGGTGCACACCGGCCCCCACAGTGAAGGAAGACGGTCGGCTTAATCGGCTGCAAAGGACAAAATACCCAAAAGCAAACCCAGAGGAAATCTTGCCTGCATGTTACCAGGGAATAGATGTGGCAGAGCTCGGAACAAGAGGAATCACTCCCATACCCTCTACTTCCGGCTTAGCCGGGTTTTGGCCTTACTTGAAATCTGTGATTACACCTCTACTTTATACCCGAAGTCTAAGCCCATCAAACAAGAGCCTCACCAAGGTCAACGGGCAGAGGTCCTGGCTCACCTGTCAGCCCCAGCACAGGACAACATCTTGTTGATGCGGATGACATGGAACGGATGCAGCCGCACTCGGATATGAAAGCCATCTTTACCACAGCTTTTCACCATGTACTTGTTGGCACAAATACGGGCAGCCTCCAGGGCTAGTAAGGGAGACAGACAAGATTACAAAGAAGCCAGGTGGCATGTGTTGTCTGGATGAGGGCCAAGCCCTCCAGTTGGTCCAAGGTCATTCAGGGGCAGTGCTCGCCTCACCTTCTGAGGAGAGCTGCTCGTATTCATCCGATACCATGTGGCCACAGAGTGGGAACTCATCCACTTTTGCCTTCTTCCGACCCAGGTCAAAGATCCGAATCTTGGCATCTGGAAAAGGCCAATGAGTGTTTGGGGGGCTGTGGGCATGTAGTTAGCATGGCCTAACCAGCTAGGGAGCGCATCCACTACTTACCAGGGACACCTCGGCAGAAGCGGGACTTGGGATAGGGCTTGTTCTTACAATACCGGTAACTGCAAGAGGGGGAAAACCCAGGTTTGAAGGTTCTGCTCAAAAGTGCACAGGCCCTTCCAGTGCCCCACAGGAAGATTTAAAAGAGGGCAAGAGGTAGTCTGAATCTCATTGGTCACAGGCAAAAGCTATTCAGCTTAGATTGCAAACAATGGCTTTTACCCATTATCCAATCCACAACTCCCTAGAACGTAAACTTTCACCCATATTTTCAATTTTCATTGCATATTGACGCGTAATTCACGCTATTCATTAGAATACTTTCGGGCACGTGGCAGTAAACAGTCCCTCGGTTAAGTGAAGTGACCACAGCGCCCCGCCAGGGCTCCCGAGGCAGCTGCACTGGATTATCATCGGGAGCTGCCCTGGCGGCTATCCGAGAAGTCCGCTCGGCATGAAGTCCGGAAATAAGGAAGCTGCACACAAAGGCGGAATCGAGCCGAAAGGCATAGAGTTTGAAGGACCCAGAACGAGACCGGCTAACTGAAATTTCCAGGGCGATCTTAGTGCGACACACGCAGCCAATGGTCCGCGAGTAAATGGAGGAACGGCTCAAGATAGGGCCGAAGTTTTAACTCGAAAGCAGCGCTTAGCATAATTCAAGACCGTAAGACGTGACAGAGGAACGTGCGGAGTTCGTTCCCAGGGAAGGCCAGCTGCTCTAGATAGTCTCCGCCCCAGGGTTGTTTTCCAGCGACTAAATGCAATTCTTTTCGGTACTTACCATCGGGCTGGGCGGCGGCCCATGGCAACACCAGGATCTTTGTGGCTGCAACGAAACAGATAAAGGCTGAACAGAGCACGAGGGCAGGCCTCAAAGCAGGGGACGAGGCCAGCAAAGGAGCTGGACTGGCCAGCAGACGCGCATACTCACCGCGCCGGAGGGAAAGAGATGCTCTCACGCTCGTGCACGACTTATATAGTCCGCCCACCTTCCTACGCGAGAACCATAGAGTCCAGAGGAGGGCGTGAGGACGCTCTTTCACAACGTCAGGACCATAGACGCAGCGACGTTCTGCGCCTGCGTGCAAGACTCGGCACATGCGCAAAATGCCAAGATGGCTGGGTACGGGTGCCCAGCGGGCGGCCAGTGGACGAGTCTGGCCTCACCCTGTAGCTTGAGAAAACTTGCAGACAAACGTGGGGGTAGAGCTTTCGCCCAAGGAAAGTTCTTAACTGTGAAAGACCAACGTTTTTAGAATTCATAGGAGGAACGTTCCCCTGGGTGGGCTTGGGGCAGCCACGAGCCGATTCCCCAGAGGACACGAATCGAGGACACACTCCGCCCTCTCGACGCTCTTGGGGCGCGAGTCCGCCATGTCCGCGCTTTCGCTGATCTTCCTTTGCCCACGAGGACGCGGGGGTGGGGGTGGCTGTCCTCCGCTGAGCCAAGCGTCGGCACAGGTCTTGCTGTGAGCCTCGTTACCGTGTCCCCGTTCCTGGCCCCCAGGGCAAGGGACCA